TCCTTCTCTCTCTCTCTCTCTCTCTCTCTCTCTCTCTACCTTCTTATACTCCTTGATCTTATCCTTTATATCTTGTAGTGATCCATTAAGTAATTTAATCTTCCTTTGCTTTTCAATATTTTTTCGATTACCAAAAAAGAAAAGTGCTGCAAGAAGAACAATAATAATAATAATAATAATAATAATTCAAACGATCGTTTCGTTGACTTCCTTCCCCCCTCCGTTCTTTTTCTAAATGCACAAAAATAAAATGGCAAGTTCGAGCGAGATTCGGTTGCCTTTCAGCCGATTCGAAACACTGCGTGTACCAGCAAATACGTACTCGACCTCGACGTTCGTTTCGTCCGACGATTCGCATATGCCCAGCGACGCGCATACACCCATTGTCGACGATTATGCGCCGATTATGCCTCGATTATCGCCCCGGGTTATGCGCCTATTTATAAGCGACACGAACAGTTAACGGTCGATCCTCTCCTTCTCTTTATAAAACCGTCGACGACGAAGAGGAAGAATTCAGGCGGGCAGACATTACAGTTGCAGCACGACGATGCCACCGACGTCGATCAGGATGAGGATGATACGATTTCATCGCTTCTGCGAGGATTTCTTCTATCTCTTTTTTTTTCGCCGCGTGGAAACGAACGCGAAAATTTTTTTTCTTTTTTTTCGTTTCTTCTTCTGTAAACGAGACTCGACGACATGGAGGACATTTTTTTACAGTGATAAATTAAAATTATTTTTGTGCGTTTTTGAGTTTAAAAGTGGTCTATATTTTTTTATCTTTAAATTTGTGTTTTATCGATTAAATCGATCGATTGAAAAATATCCGTATCAATTTTTACTAATAACATATGTTATTTTTTTTTTTTTTTTGTTATTATTCCAGAGTTTAATCAATGATGGTTTTAAAACTTCGGTATTTTTATTTAAAAAAAAAAAAATTATGATGATTCGTAGGATATGAAATTATTATTAAAATTATTGCGCGTATCTTTTATGTACAATTATTGATTTTTATATTCCATATTGCAAACATTTTAATTTAATTAAACAGTTTTGTTAACATAATAATACATAAAAAAAGCTATGTTTTATTATATTTCATTAAAATTATTGAAAAATAATGTTAAATCATTATGTTAATGCAATAAATCCAGATATCTTTCAATAGATCGTTAATTTTTCATTATTTAAAAAAATTTAAGAAAAAATAATAGTAGCAAATGATAATAATGTATGATAAAATAAAAATGATACGATAATTCTAAAAAAAAAATATTTTAGAATTTAAATCCATTTTAATACTTAATATATGTCTTCTTAGAATTGTATTTAGATAAACGAGAGATAAATTATATGATTACTGTATCTATAAAAAATTGAGTTCAAAAAAATATTAAAAATATAAATTAGAAAATTATATTTTTTTATTATTTTATCTATACAAAAATATTATAAAAAAGAAGTAGAAAATAATTTTATTTGCTTTCTATTAAATTTTCTTTCACCTAATAGAAAAAGTTATTAAATATTTTGAAATAGTAGAGTTAACATATAAATTAAGTCTGTTTCAATTAATTACAATTAACAATGTATCTTGAAACACAATTTTTAATAACCTGTGTTAGAACATATATAATTTATCTGACAGATTTCTTGTGCTTTCATGTACTACTGGAAATGACTTGCATTCTTATATTCTTGGATAATATCTTTACCCATAACTTCAATTAATTATTAACCTTAAACTTTCTTTTGTATTTTACGTGTGAATAACAGTGAATCATAAATATTTCATTCGCTGAAGAATAATCTGACAAATTTTTCTAATTTATCTCATGAAGATATCTATCCTAATTTATTATCTTAATTAAATTTATATTTATATGTTTATATGTACAAGATTTCTTATATTTACGATACTAATTGTATGTACCTTTAATTAAAAAGGGAAAAGTTGAGAATTTTCTCTTTTCAAAAAAATAAGTAAAATAAGTATTTTAAAATTAAAAAAAATTTTTTCATTGGAGTGATAATTAAAAAAAAAAAAAAAGAAAAAATTGTGATTAAAAAGATAAAAAAAAAAGTTGAAAAAAAGCTTCTAAAATATTTTCCAACGGCCATATTTCATACCGGAAGGGTAACAATGGTAACAAGGTGAAGTGAACATAAACCAATATATCGTGCGAAATGCAAATAAAATTTTTCAGTCGACCTGTTTCCCGTCCACGCCCCTGCGTAAGAGCAGGAAGGTTAACCCTTTTGTGTGAACCAACAGGGGTAGTCCCTATAAATGCTGACTATAAACTTGGCCTTTATAAGGAATTTAAGAGATCGTTCAAATAATTCACTCTTGATACTTAAGTCAATAAAATGAAATAATACAAGAAAAAAAAAAAAAAGAAGAAAGAAGAAAAGAAAAAATAGAAAAAAGAGAATTTCAATTAATTGACGAACAATAGAATATTAAATAAGCTTCAAAGAAAAAGAGTTCTATTGATGTTTGATCAATAAAATTATTTTGCTATTTAAATGGAAAAGCGATTCCTAATTAATTCAGACTCGACTAATGAACTTATAAGAGCCTAAGATAAGAGACGAAAGTTTCAATTAATCTTTGACCTGTATGTCAAACTTCAGAGGACATAAACTCTGTCGATGGTTCGATACTTAATGTGTGGGAAACTCGAAGGATAATTAAGTTCTGAGTAACTTATAAGAATTTTAACGAGCGATGAGAACTTTGATAACTCGCTGATGAATCGAATCTGATTCTTCTTCTTTGATAGCATGGATATCTCAAAATTTCCTAACAAACAATAAGTATATATTTTTTAAAAAATCTTTTTACTAGTTCAATTCTTTTTAATTTTACCTTGAAATATTAATAAATAAATGTAACGTGTATTTTTCTTTACAATTTTGTTTTTTTTTTTTTAAATTTTTCAATATATCAACTAAATAAAAAAAGATTTTTTTCAAAATTCCTGTTCAAATAATGGATAACGTGTTAAAATAAGAAAATAACAAATAAAAATATTTCTTTCTTCGATAAACAATGATAGCTATGTTCCTCTCAAATAATAATCACAATATCTCAAATGACTCATCTCTCGAGTCTTCGATGCATCAATTACGAATTCCATGAATGTCTGATCTGACGTGCTTCTACGTCACTAGGTGGGCACCGAGCCAAGTGACGTCACCGACGAACCACTAAACCGATACACACACGTTTTGCCCATCTACCATTCTTCCTCCCTTTCCCAAAGAAAGAAAAAAATTAAAATCACGCTAACTAATGTAATGACACAAACAAATTCTTTTTTTTTTTTTTTTTTGTTACACTCATTAATTTTCGATGGATACGTACTCGTCGTTCGACGTGGTATCCTTCGAGGTACATCCGCCCATGACGACGACAACGATGACGACGCCCCGGCGAGAGAAACAGCGAGCGAGAAACTGACAGAGAGCGGTAAACCTCGTGTGTTCACCTCTCGATAATCGAACTTCACCTCTTCACCACGTTCTCCTTCTCCAACGTCCTGGAGGAGGATCTTCGAGACCGGAAGTTCACGGGGGAGGGGGAACAAGAGGGTGTGGGTGGCGGCACACTTCCTCGACGAGGCAAGATGGACGGAAAACGAATGCGTGTTTCCAACACGGAACACGCTATAACTTGGTATATAGCGTGTTTTTCGTAGCACTTCCGGTTGTCCTTGGAGTTACGTCGATGGGGGTTAATCACCCCTGGCAGAGAGTCAAAGGTCGTGTGTCTCTTCCTAATCGTTAATTCCCTTTCACGGGATTTTTGTAGAAATATTTTTTTTTTCTTGCAAAAAGAGATTGCCTAATAATGGTTAAAAAAAGAACGATCGATAATCGGTCTCTTTCCCCCTTTTCTCCCTAAATGATAATACCGATCAATTTAAAGTTAGAGAATTAATAATAAATATTGTAACTTATTATAGATATGATTAAACAAAATTTTAATAATATTTATTTGATTAACGCAGACTATGATTTCCATTGATTTGAGTCAGTGAATATATAAATTCTCTAACTGTTCCTGAACGGTGTAGTTCCGGTTACACTGGCTGACTAGCGTAGTACTACTGGAAGGTGCTGACAGAATTGTATGTTGGATTACGGTCGATTGGATTGATTATTCACGTTTGCACGATAGGATCCCGGTTTGATTTGTTGATTCCGGTATTTGAATTTGAGGATAAAATTTATCGTGAAATATAAGAAATATTTGAGAACCGGTAAAAATGAAAAATCGGTGAAAAAATGACGTTACGAATAATAAATCACAATCAATTTCTTACACATTTTTATTATTACAGTCTTTCCTGATCGCGAGTGAAAATGAAAGCGGATTGTGCGTGTCCCGGGGAACTCTGACGGCCGTCAATCGATATTGAGTACGCAAACGTGAAGAAATTCTCTCAACTTCCGGTCGAAAACCTCGCGATTCTTTCGAATTAAAATACAAAATACGCGCCAAGAAGCACAATAAAGTCAAAACGAGGTGAAAGTAAATGATACGATATTATTATATACTCTGAAGTATAGTCAGCCAGTGCAATCAATGTATGGTCTTTTACTCACCGTAAGAAGGAAAGAGAATCCGAATAATCAGGATTCGTATTTCGATGAAAAACGTTCTTGTAAAAAAAGCACTCTCAAAAAGATGGTCACAGTCGTTAATATGTGCGTAATTGTTGCTCCCGAAGAAAGATTGTGTTTGACACAAGAAATATCCTTCTTGTTATTACTTTATATCTGGTATGTGCTTCCCAATGTTCTGTTCTCTTGCGTTGTCCTGTGCGTATGTGTATATATATATATATGTGCGTTTATCGAGATGATCGCGCTCGTGCCTTTTTATGTATATAATAATGTATGTATACACATAAGTATATGTGTGTAACGTGTTTTGTAACGTAACTAATTATCGTGTCGTGAAATCGAATGATTCTCTAGCGGCACGCGTTGAACGTACGAAAAATTTTCGGTGTGTCGCGTGTGATGTGAACACTACAGTCTCTACGCTATCACTAAGCAGGAGGCATTTCTGCGTGCCGTGATCTCTCTCTATCTTGCTCCCTCTCTATCTGTCTCTCTCGCCGCCTCCCCCTCCCTTCAATACTCTCTCCTTCTCATTCCAGGCTAGCCTTCTCTTTCTCGCGAGTAACTTTCCGTCTCTTTCTTTTCCCGTCCATACGAATCTCCGTTTACCTCTCTTTTTACTCCTGTCACTCTGTCATTGCTCCTTGTCTACCTTTAAACGACTTTCCCCCTTTTTCGCAAATTCACGCTCTCTCTCTCTCTCTCTTTTTCTCGCTTTTCCCCATCGGATCCGCTTGCTTCCACTCTTATTTTCTTCTTCTAAAATCATCTCTGTTCTTTCCTGGTTCCACGGTGTTCGTTCCGTCTCTTTTGTTCTCGCTCGATACATCTTTCGCTTCTCTACGCCGCGACTATCCGTCCTTTTCTCGACTACCACTCGCGGACCGATCTGTCCTTGTCTTCCTCGCGAAGTATCGCTCTCTCGGTCCCTCGCTACTCACTTCAGGGTGGGGCACACCGGCGGCGTCCAGCACAGAAGGATACCCGGTCGATAGCACGCACCTACACCTACACCAGCCAGCAGCCTCCGTGTTACGTATGCGTGGAAAATCACGTATACGCATGTATTTATTCGTGTGTATACACCATGAATCTATACGCATACACAGAGCATGTCAATGTGGTTGAAACGGTGCAGTTTTCGGTTCTGCTCGAAATGTATGAACGTTTAACGTAACGCCTTGATATATTTTAACCTGTGTTCATTGCAAAAGATGACAATTCGTAGAAAAACTAATAAACGAAAGTATCGTATAAATTATACGAATTCCTCGAATATTATAAACAATAATGAATATTATCATCAATTTCGTTGATTTGTTTTCTTTCTTCGAGTCGTAAGACGCGTTTTCATGAACTCTCTATATAGTGAATGCAACTTTCTAAATTTTTCTCGAGAATCGGGAAATGAAAACCGGTGTATCGAGAAATTCTGGATCCAGATTAGGATCTTCCAATTTAGAGAAGTGACTAGGAAGAGAAAAAAAATGATTCTTGGCCATATTTATCGACCAATTAATTTTACTTGCATATTAATTTCTCATAATAGTTTAATTTACGAATGATACAATTATAATTATATATTTATTGAACGTAAATACTTTAAACGATTTATTCAATTTTTAATCGACAAAATTTTATTATAATTAATAAATATTTAAAGTGTAATTATTATAATGAAATAATGCTCTAAAATATAGCATTATCATTTTACTATATTAAAATATACTATTGTATTGAAATGCAGTCACAGTTGAAAATCAATAACTGCTATATAATCAATGCAATAGTAACAATACCATTCAATGTTATTCTCCCAAATGAACCACGCAGAATAAATAGTAGAAAATTAGAATCTCCATGCATACTTCAAATTACTTTGACTAATTACATTATGAACATGTATGTAAGTACATATATTACGATGAACAAAGGAACGAGAACCGATAATAGAAGAATCTAATAAGTGATCCACTTGAAGTCATTTGACGGAAGTCGACAATAAATTATGTATGCGTGAAAATTCATGTGCTGTATATAGTGATCGGTGAAATTGATCCTACAATATATATGTACGCTAGCGAAAGATCGACATGATTTGGATAGAAAAGCACACGCAGCTGACCTTTAATTACCAATTTTTAAAAAATAATATGCTTTCAAATACGAATATTTAAAATGTAATATACATGTAATTTGTATTAAATGACAAAAATTTCACTTATTTATATTACATTAGAAATATTCGAATAATTGCAATCATTCGAAATACATAAGAACAGAATGAAATATATTTTTTTATATTGAAATAAATTTATGATATAACTTTCATTATCAATATACCATTTTTATTCATCTTTCTCACGCTGTCAAGCTGTCTTTTCGATTAGATAATAAAACGTATCCCAATAAATTATCGTTCCCGTTAGAAAATATGTTTGAATGTGATCGAACAATGAATAAAATATCGAATAAAATATAGGAGGAGAGAATCAAGTGAAGATGGATCATCATCTCCTATTGCTGTGTGTCTAAATACGCAATTTCACAGAGTGGAGAGGGATGAGATAGATTACTGACTGGTATAAATGCATGATTATACTACGAGAGGAGCGTGGTCTCGTGCAATAATGGAGGTGTGAACGACATCGTAAGATGTCGTTTTCTTCATTCACTTGTATATACATATACGGTATGGTATATCCCAAATACACACGTGTTCTTCACGTATAATACGTGTGTCGAGCTATGAATGGAAATGGGTTAAAAGCGCATTCGCTCACCATGAACGAATATATACACTAAATACTGTAAGCTTCTCTAGTATGTATCGAGTTTACGAGGTATTGTTCGTAATGCTTCTATTTAAACGCAAGTAGACTGTATTACAGTTGATTTTTTTCAAAGAAGATTCGATTTTACGAAATTCATAATTTCTTGTTGAAACAAAATTGTCCGGCTTTAATCACTTACGTTTTATTGGTCATAAAAAAATTATAAGCTTTTTATAAGATTTTTTGAAGAGTTTTTATGATGATGAGCGGGAAATTGTTAAAATTTTAATTTAATAAAATTTCAAATATTTCCCTATAGATATTAATAACAATGCTACAAGGAATTATTGATACGTAAAAATTAACTTATTTCGATATTTCTCTATCTGTGATCCACGATTCCCGAAAGGTATCGTTATTATTATTTTGAAAAAGTTTTATGATGAAAATTTTTCATTTATAAAATATTCATTCATTTCAATATAACTTAGAAATAAAATAAATTTAATCTATCGCTAAAAAAACGTATTTATAGATGCCGATACTTTCTACGACACAGATTTCACTTTATATGTATGCGATTCACACACACGTTTCTACAAATAAACATTTTTATCATACATTTACCTCGTTCTATTTTATAAATGCATTCTTACATAATTATGAGGAAAAAGAATTTGACTACATATTTCTTAATCTCTTATATATATATATATATGATAAAAAATATTTCGCTGCAAAATGCATCAATTAATTTTCAACGATAAAATACCATCATTCAATTACGTGCGAAATTGCTAGCCTGATATCAATTTAGAACGATACCTCCGAAAATCAAATGCGACGAAAGCATAGAGTAACGATACGTCTTTTAACTGCCCTTTCGAAGTTTTTCGCGTTACACTGAAAAGCCTCGACGAAGATGAAAGAGCGACGACGGAGGGTGCGAGCAGAAACAACATGCAGCCCAGGGTAAATGCGGACACTTTTTGTTTTCATTGTTTCGGTTTGTTGGCCGACTTGCGGCCACTTGTATTCTCACCCTGGGGCACGCGTAATTCCGCCTTTTCCCTTTTTGTGTTTCTCCAACGAGGGAACCTGTAATCGTCTCCGCTGATCTTTTTGATTAACTCACTCACAAGAGTATCCAATTAACCGTCGAGCAACGCTTTCGTAACTCCGCGCTTAGTCACGAGATGTATTTTACAGAAAATCCGAATCCGTTAATGCAAAAAAAAAAAAAAAAAAAGAAAGAAGATATTTTTGGAAATCTTGCGAAAAATATTAAATAGAATATCATCGATCGAAAAAATGGATAAACAAATGACAAAGCTCCACATCGTGTTGGAAATTCTACGTCGAGAAAAAGGTATTATGGGATAAAAAGATTATCATTGTAAAATTAATATAAAAGAAGGAAACGATCGCAAAGTTCTGGATCATATTGGAAATTGTACAATACATCCTCGAGAAGATCGCGTATTTAGTTACATAATCAAGGACGGTTCGTAGCGAAATTTCGAGACGTTTTATCAAGTGTAACGCGATACGAACAAAGATATCTCTGCAATTACAAGTGAATCAGAAAGGTTGATGATACGAAAAGCGATTACGATCTGGATTGAGTTTCGAGAACGTCTCGCCGATAAAACGATTGTAACACCGTATTTCGTTATCGGGCTCGAGATAAGGCCCCAACTATTCGATTCATTCTATTATTCGTTTCTCTTCTTCGTCTTAGAAACTTACAATCGAGATGGTAATCGTCGCGAGATTTATGCGATTTTTGGTTCTTTCTACTGCTGATTTGATTTTCTTTTTTTTTTGTTTTTTTTTTTTTTTTGGTAGAAGTAAAAGTTCATGGATTATTAAAAGTTATTAATTGCGTTGTTATAACAATAGAAATTTATATCTTTTTTTTTATAATCAATTTTAAAAGATTTTTTAACATTGATATTTTTAACGATCGATTTAACATGAAATGAATTAAAAAAAATATCTCAATGTAATCGAAATTGTAATAAACCGTTAATAATTATAAACAATTTGAGAAAATGAAAATTAGAAAAACCATCTGTTATTAATTAATAAATAATAGAAAAAAATTATATTGCAAAATCTAATTAAATTTATCTTCCCCTACAGAAGATAAAGATAAGATCTAAAGATCAAAATCTTATGTACAGACAAAGTTGATAAAAATTTCTTTTTTCAAGAAATTTGATAAGAAATCATCATTTCATCCTCTATAATCTCTAACCTTAACAAAAATTTGTAAATTAAAGATTATATAAGGATTACAAAAGATACGTATCTATTATATAAAAAATATCTTCGCTAAAAATTTTTTTTCCACAAAATCTAATGGAATTGTTTAATTTATTAATTCATAGTTTTTAGTCATAAAGAAATAAAACAAAAGATTTTTTGACAAAAAATAAAATAGAATAAGTAGAGTAAAATTCGATACAAAAAAAAAAAAAAAAAAAAAAAATAAGTAACATTGTGTAACGTAAGTAATACATCATGAAAATCAAGCTCTGTACAGACGATGGTACTCGAGTACCGTCGCTGCAACATCCTGTTACGTCACTGTCGCATTATTTGTGCCTCGAATCCGTTCAGAATATAAATTCGACCGAAGTGAATCGAAATG